TTCCTCATCTCGATGGAACATTAATAACAGAAGGACCTGGGGAGAAAGCTCCATCTGGGCCAGGCTGGTGCACTGCTGTGGGGACAGAGCACTGGCTCCTGTAATCTGTAATCCCTCACATACAGTAGTGGAGCTTCAGTCAATGGGTCTATATTGACACACACAAGTTTCAGCTGTAGCTTTTCCAAACAGGAAAAATAACTCTTGCCTGCATCCAAATCTCCCTCTGTGTTCACAGACAAAAAATCCTTAGTCAACCAAAGCGCCTCAACTTTCAAATTTGCAATGCATCTAAAACTTATTTTCTTACACATTATTTTTGAGAGTAGTACATAATGAAATATTAAAATGAAATTCTTTTTTCCTCCCTGTTCATTAGAATTTACCCAAATTAAAATCTAAAATCAATACAAAAATAGCCTTTGGAGGTCATCAAATTGGGGAACAGAGTGAGTAAGATTAAAGAACACCTCTGTGTGTTTTAATCTAAGTACAAATACAGGTCTCCTGTAAAGGCTTCAGATGTTTTAGAGAACATTATTGAAGAAAGAGGGAAAAAAAATAAAACAAATAGCACAGAAGACAAGTCAGGAATAAAGTTCTTCAGACGTTTAAAGCATGGTTAGGTCATCATCTCCAAATCTGCCTGCACAGAACTGTTCAAGTGAAGAACTGAGTCCATTTTGCCACCACACACTTCAGTTTAGCCAATCTGTTTCTGAACATCTATGGAGGTTCTCTGGACCAAAAAAAAGAAGAGATTTTTGACCAACATAAATCCTGAACACAATGTTTGCAAATGTTTAAATCATGGTGCTGGCTGCATCATGCAGTCACTATGCTATCCTATAACTAAATAAAGTGAAGTTGTTAAGAATTTATTTGAAGATGCTCAGTGAAGCTAAATACAGGGTATTCTAAGGCTGTAGCGGATGGGTGACTGGGGGAGAGGATGACCTTTAAAGAGGAAAACAATTTGAAAGAGCGAGCACTAAAATGGAATGGATTAGATTGAAGCATATTAATATGTTAGACATGCTCAGAAAAAACTCCAAACCTGCAACTATTTTAGGTGTGGTAAGTCTTGAAAAGCAGTGCTTCGGTGTGTTCTCCATCCAACCTGTTTGAGCTATTTTGTAAGAACATGAACGAAAAATTTAGCCTCTGGATGTATAAAGCAGCTAGAGAACTACCCAAAAAGACCTGAAGCTGTAATTGTAGCAAAAGGTGTTTTCGTAAATTATTGACTCAAATAAATGCCACAGTTTACTACATATTCCAGTTTCCAGTATACATGCCAGTTTATACATCTAAATTAGTCTTAAGTATGAGTTTGTGCATGCATTGTCCTGCTTGCCTCTATGTTGGACTGGCATCTACAGCACTTGTTTATTACACACTAACCTTGCATATTTAACTGGTATAGTGATTGTATGAAAAATAAAGAAAAAAGAGTCTGTGTGGCTATTTTATCTCTGTGTTTACAAAATGAGTTCCAAAAGAAATCTTCAAAGTTAAGTAAAAAATAATCAACAATTTAACTTATCATAACTTACAGAGGGCAGTTGTGCTCAACAGCGTAGCAGTACAGCTCAGTGACTTGTCATCTCTATTTTTATCTCTTCGCCTTCTGAAAGAGCTTGTTAATCAATACACACAGCAAGAATTCTCTCCCTGGGTGAGCTTGAGGCAAAGAAGCATGAAATGTTCACTGCTGCACCTAAACCTCCATTTCAAATTGTTGGATCTGCATACCTTTTGAAGTCTCTTTAGGTATACTTATTTCAAGGCCAATAATTAGAATGAGAAAATTTAACTGTTGTTAGCATTCAATTGTTTGTGGTTAAATATTTAAGCCTTAAAGGTAATATTTAAGCCTTAAAGGTACATCTGACCATACCATTAGCAATGGATTTATAAGCAGTATTGGATAATGAATACAGTGGAGAACAATGGATTCTCACAGGCAAACTATACACTGTGCATTTTTGGCTTTAGTGCTCTAATAAAAGCATTTAGACGTGTTAAAGGCACCTGCCACTTTGTGGTTAGATGCCGCTGTGTGTCTTCTCAGCTCTTTTCCCTAGAAACGACATCATACAGTAATTACACCACACTCTAAAGGGAAGGACTGCCAAACAGAACTATAACTTTTGCAATACAATTCCTGGCTGAATTATATATGCAAGACAGTTGGAGTGAGGAAGAGCTGTGGGACCCAAAAAGTTACTGGTGTTGAACAGTGACTTTAAGAATTTTACTGTAAGCTTTTTTTTTTCTGTCCTTTTAATGCTTGCCACGCATTACAGAATCTTGTGGGGACAACGGAGTCTACGATATATGCCAAAATGGTGAATGAAGCCTTCAATAATATCTGTTCCACAAACAACTGTTGATTAATTTGCCAACTCTTGACATTTCCAAAGTAACTCTTGCAATGCGGCCTAGCTTGTAATAAAATACAACAAGTACCTTTCCCAATCCCAACAGTCAGTCAGGCTAAACCAATTTGGTGTAGAGCAGCTACACCTACTTGAACCTTGCTGGAAAGGATTGTGAATATACCTATATGGTATAGAGTTGGTTTGATTTTTTTTTATTAATTTTTTTATTGTAAAAATAGACTATCCTGAGGCTAGATTAGGGTTTGTTGTGTCAATGGAAAGTTAAAGTTTATAAACTAATAAATTAATGGAAAGTGTAGGCTTTTGCCAAATGGTATCGAAGCAAATATCATACAACTAGTGTCATTTTGTTTGTATTCTATGAAGCTATGAAAGAAACATGTGGGGGGATGATGAAACTAGCCTTTTACTATTTTATGAACCTTTGTAAAAATACCTTTTTATATTTAGTTTTTGGTGTCTGTTAATAGGAGCCACTGTAGGGTGGTTAAAGAGCAACGGGTGGCTCTGGAGCTGCAGGATTCCCACCTCTGATACAATAACAGGTTGGTTGTATGCTCAGTGTGGAAGGGTTGTTCAGCTTCATTTACCAGGTTCCTTTGGAGTGTCAGTACTGGCAAACCACAGAGCAGGCCTGTCCACCACAGACCTCATAATGGAGATAGGTTGGTTTGTGTTTTTTTGCAAGTGGGCACTTCGCCATAACCCCAAAATTTTTTGAAGGTGAAGGTACAAGTGGCCAGACTGCAGAGCGTGAAAGGGCGTTACAGTTTTGTCTCTATAAACATGTGAATTCCTTTCGGATTTTCTTTTGTTTTGTACTTTTCTCCATGAAATGTGGTTCTGTTTATTTGTGTTTTTTTCGAGCCAAGGTAATCCAGGTGCATTAGCCTGAAGCTCTCCTGCCTCTTTATTAGTTATGCATTTCCATCAGCAGAGCAGCTTTAAGCTATGTGATCCGCAGCGTGCTCTGTGTTCAGGTGTTCAGCAGCTGAACTGGATCATCCTCTATTTTTCCTGATGCCCAGAAGCATAGCACCGCATTTTCTTGTGGTTGATTAAATATTTCAAATTATAAATATCACAGCAGACAGCAGAAAATGCCATACTTGAATTATACTGGTTCCTGTGTGCTGTTTATCAAAGTATAATAGTAAAAATAATAATATTAATATGCAACCCGGCTCTTGCACATAAACTGCCGGAGATAGGCACCGGCCCTACCGTGACCCTGGCGAAGATGCATGTAAATAATAAAGAAAAAAACTAAAACAGCAGTTCCAACTTAAAAAACAAAGAAACGTTTATATCTATTATGAATAATTTAGTTTTCGACCTGATTTGGTAAAGATTTTTTAGCATAACATGATTGAGCATCAAATTAAACTTACTCTTCTTTTGTGTACTTTCAGACTTAAGAAACTTAATCCAATCTTGAATATTTTTTGGCAAGAGATTGTTAATCTTTTTTTATAAATATGGATGCTTGTGCAAATCTCAACAGGTTGTGGAGGCTGTGGCAGAAGATCATGAAGAAAAAGAAGCTACAACATTCCAGCACTGAAAACAGCTGCCCACACTGCAAAAAGCAAAGCAACAAACAAAAAGTAGGTGGCTGCCAACCAAAGTCTGGCAAAAGAGGGAGAAAGACAGAAAGCTTGTGTAATTTGTAAGAAACTAAAAAGGCTATCTATCTATCTATCTATCTATCTATCTATCTATCTATCTATCTATCTATCTATCTATCTATCTATCTATCTATCTATCTATCTATCTATCTATCTATCTATCTATCTATCTATCTATCTATCTATCCATCCATCCATCCATCCATCCATCCATCCATCCATCCATCCATCCATCCATCCATCCATCCATCCATCCATCCATCCATCCATCCATCCATCCATCCATCCATCCATCCATCCATCTATCTAGAGCTAATAAGTATTCCATATTTTTCTTTGAAATTTCTTAATATCAAACCTTAGGGAGTGTGTCATTCATTAGTTTCTTTTATTCTCCTTAAATGTTTAACGACTCAGTACAGTAAAAAATGTCAACAATTCCTCATATTTATCAATTGTCTTCTATTTTGTTTGTTTAGTCTAACACTTTTAAGTCTATGTCATAATTCAACTTTAATTATGGAATTAGTCCAGCTATAATTTGTTAAACAAAGCAGTCCTTTAGTACTGTATAACTGCAGATTTCTTGATATTATATAAGTATTTTTGAGGTTCTCATGAATTTCTAGTTGCTTATGGCAGCTATGCGTAAATATAAAACAAAATTATGTGAGCTTATTACATATTAAGGTCAATAAATTCAGTTTTAGTATAGCATAAAAAATGCCTCTATACCATTGAATTTAGCCAAAAGTGTTTCGTCCCTGTGCACATTTTTATCAAAAGTATACAAAGCACCTAAAACATCTCCTCTCTTACTAAATATGTCAAAGTTTCCTTTTTAAACAAATCTGTTTTTAGCAAATATTATAAAGATAGTAAAGACAATTAGAAACTATATGGTACAGAAGTTAGATATAAACTGTCAGAACTAGCATCAGTATATAAAAACTTAAGATGCTCTTACCATCCACACAGGAGGGTTTGTTGCGTGTCGTCCCAGCCACTTTCCCAGGCAAACAGGAACATTTGACTGTCTGTGAGCGCTCCTCAATGCGGTTCTTGTTGCAGCATCTGTGAGCAGCAATCACCTCACACGTCCCCCCCTCTGTATAGACATGGACAGAGAAAATAGTCATTTAATATAAGGGAAAGAGTTATTTTTATTTACAGATTACTAATACACTTTAAAAGCAACTTTCCAAGCAAGCAACTATAATGTGAAAAAGAGAGGCGCTTAGTACAACTCAGCTCAATTATATTATGTCAGCTTAGCAGCAGCACAATCATGGGGTACTTACACTGTAAGCATGTGTAACAAATTGGCCCTCAAGGAATCTCAATTATGTCATCAAATTGCCTCTCATTCAGGGCTGGCTGTCCTCACTTCATACCAATCAGCTCATGATGACTCTCATGAAGAATGTCACACACTCTGTATTTATTAATGGGTAAATTTCTCAACTTTATTATGTAGTACGTATGTTACCAATATGAATTCAGTTTTTTTAAAGTATTCACACCTGAATCTTTTAACATGTTTCTATGCTGCCAGAATAAAGAGATGCATGGATAGAGTAGTTGTCACTTGTTCTAAAAGTTGTACAATCGTTTCCAGCTTCCCCCTCTCATATGTCAAGGTGTCCCTGATAAGGCAATTAACTCCAAGCTGCATACCAATCCTTGTACTAGTGTATGAATATGTGTGCTTTAGAAAGTAAATTGGGTAAATGTGGATAAAGTATGAAATGCTTTGAAAATTTAGAAAAACATACATTTATTCTGTTGCACTGACTCCCATCATGATGAAGTGCATGCAAAGCCTGGTTAAAGAACACATTATCTCCATTCATCCCCCAACATTTGAGCCGTTCCAGTTCACCTACCGACGGAACCGCTCCACTGAGAATGCCATGTCCTCTGCTCTTCACCTGAGCCTAGCACCACTGGAGGAGAAGAACACCCACATGCTGATGCTTTTCCTGGACTTCAGCTCAGCTATCAACAGCATCATTCCACAGCATCTGATAGGTAAAGTGGAATAGCTGGACTTCAATACACCCCTCTGCAATTGGCTGCTAGACTTTCTCAAAAACAGACCTTAGTCAGGCTGAATCAGACAGAACAACTCTGATGTCATCACCCTAAGCACAGGCTCCCCTCAGGGCTGTGTCCTGAGCCCCCTGCTGTTCACTCTGATGACACATGACTGCGTCCCCAGGTTCACCACCAAGCACATTGTGAAGTTTGCAGACAACACTACAGACTTCCTCAGACTGGAAGAAAGTGAGGAGAGTGGTGAGAACAGCAGTGAGGATCCCTCCATTAAATACATTTCATCCCAGCCATGCTTTTCCCCAAGCCCGCAACATCATCAGCAACCCCTCACACCCCCACCATGGACTGTTCTCCCTGCTGCCCTCTGGGAAGAGCCTTTGCGGCATTTGCTCCAGGTCCAGCAGATTCTGCAACATTTTTTTCCCAGCTGCCATCAGATTGCTGAACTGCTGGAAAAAAAAATCTCCCACTGATAACACCAAGCCAAAATATTGCATATTTGCACCATATGTATTGGTCTTGAAATGCTCTGAACTTCCATATCAGTGTGTTCTTACACCATGTTTTTTCTCCCATAATGTTTAAATTTGATCCCTGCTGCACTTTATGGAATGGATATGTTAATTTCACCACTAAGCTGCTGCTCATTTACTGTCTAAAAGCTGTACAAAACGAAATTCTGCTAACATAAAAGTCGTCTAAGTTTACCGTACATGATGTGTTTTACTTTGTGTCAGTCATTGGTATAAAATGCCAAATATTTAAATACATTTGTGAGGAGAGTGAGCACTTTAAAAAGGCTTTGGAAATGACTGATTTGTCTCAACTACAAGAACCAGATAGTCATGGCTGCTTTAAAATCCAACCTGTCTGACAGTCGCAACCGTGACAACGCAATCTGGGGCTGCAACACACTAAAGCTTTGAATCCAAAGTATAGCTGACAGTCAGAGCAAATATTGTACAAACTGCCCCAATTTGACAAAGGGTGATGTCAAAAAAATTCACCCAACAGAGAAGGTGATATGCGCTAAAGGCACTAGTCGGTCAAAATAACAATAGGGAGGATTACCCAAGGGATGGTGCTGCTTGATGGAGCTGAGAGACACCCAGAAATGAGTGAGATAGGCTGAGAGAAAGAGCTAAAGGACAAGGTGTGCCTTCCTGCCAGGGACTGGCTATGCCAGTGAGTAATGAGGTAGCCACTGGAAGTGCCCCCTTCACACAATTATAAAGCATAGGGCTAATGCAGCCAACAGAGCTGCAGGAGAAAGGCCCTTCATCACTGCTCTCCCCTTTCCTACAGGCCCCAGGAAAAACTCTTTATCTTTCTATGACAGCCACAGTAACACACGGCAGCATCCAACAATTAAAACTGGAGCTTATCCCAAGACAGGATATCTGATAGCACAGAATAGTCTAACATATCCCACTCAATGTACCCACAAGAAAATATACAAAATAATAGTGCCTCATCTGCTCATCACAATTTTTTAGTGGATTAAAAAATATTTAAAATGGGGTCTTCTGTTGCCAAAGGTGTCAAGTAACTTATTATAAATACTTGCGGTACTTAAGTAGCTTTTATCATGTCTGTATTTTCTACTGCACACTTTCTCACAACTGGCTTGTAACTTCTATGTAAGTGTATTGATAGTGAAATTATGTAACAACTGAAACAAAATGGAGGAAAAAATCCAGCTACAATGGGAAATCAGTTAATTTAGAGCACAGTTTGCTTATATAAAAACCCTGATAGCGACATGAATGAAGGCTGTGGGCCTGGAAACATTGTTGATGATGGATTACAATCTGACACACAAGGAATTTTCCATCTGTTCTCTCTATACTTTAATTGACATGTTGATTATTTTTCACGTTCTATTTTAATTTTGAAATCCATTTGAAAATTTAATGAGCTAAGTACTCAGCTGCTTATGAAGAAATTCTGCTCTGTTCAATCTAGGTTTTCCTGACTAAAATATAAGTTTAAAACCAAATCAGTCACTGCTTGTGAAACATTTTATATCTGGTCTAATAGACCAAGAATCTATGGTAAATGGACTATGGCAAACTGCTAATGTTGCTAAGCTAAATCCACATGAATATGCATACAAACAGGAGAATTTCTTGTGTGTACCCTGATGAGAAGGCTAATGAAAAGGAGTTAGGATGAGCTCTTTCATTTTTTCTTTGAAAAATCAAGAAATAAGTTTAAAGACAATTCCAGAATGATTGTATATGTAAAATACCAGGATATGTCTCGTTAAAAGCAAACATTTATTTGAAGTTTTGATACTAATTACATTGTAGAATCTTTTCTTACTTTTTTTTTTAAATACTTAAGTATAGGTCAATCAGTACTTTTACTTATACTTACTTAAGTAGGGAATGTGAGTGCTTTTAACACCTGTGTCTACTACACAAGAGAAATTCAGCAAATGTACTATTTTCTGTGCCCAGATAGTTGTGCAAATATTTAAAATGACTTTTGGCACAAATTAACGAACACATTTCCAGATAGGCGGGACAATGTCAGCAACAGTTTAATTTTTTCCATCTACTTTCCTCAATTTCTGTCTTGGCAAGACCAGTTCTTGTAGTTTCAGGTTACAAGACAAACATTTGCACTCCTGACGGACCCTCTTGTCAGGCCATATTAGAGTCTGTTTCTCGGCTCTGTTGCTAGACGTGTCTGGGCAGAAAGAAGTAGAAGATGGGGAACTCTGATGTGGTTTATGAACAAAGAATTCAACCACCACTAATCAAATATAGTAAGAAAGATGCACAAATATGTCCAATTTAAATAGGTAGTCAAATCAAATAATAAATAATAAAAAATAAAAGAATAAAAAATTATACTAAAATACCATAATAAAAATGTCAGCTCTGTACAGTTTTTTTATTATTATTTCATTAGACATTGGGATGCTTAAAGAACTCCTCCTTGATTAAGGTCATTCATGAATGGGTACTAACATTAGCTTACCTTTTTCATCAGGCACGCCTGTCATTAATTACCTGAGGTGACTGAGTCATCATGTAACATTGCTGGTAAGTGTTGCTTCTTGTGTAACTTTTTATCTTTTCTGTAAACAATGGTAAATCAAACATAGCCAACTGCTAATGCTGCTAACACTACACCAACACATGAAAGCTAATGCAAACAAGTCAATTTCTCATGCCTGCCGTCATAAGAAAAACAAACATGTGAAAAAGGATTCAAATTAGCCATTTGATTTTTTTTCTCCTTAAAATTATTAAGCATGGATTTAAAGACAATTTCTGGATGATTTTATCCATAAAATGCCAAGTAATGACTTTGGAAAATGTTTAAGTAAAAATACTTTAAATTATGACAAAATAATATTTGTCTCAGGCACAAACACCCATCAATGTGTGTATATCAGTAGTGTTAGGTCCAGCCAGGTGGACCATCTGGTATATGATGCAGAGTGCAGTGTAAATAGCTCCATGATTAGTTTACTGAGTCTGTCACAAGAGCCACTTAAACAACAAATGGCCACTTGAACTACACTTCATCCCACTCAGGACACTGGGATAGCATTTTAAAGCCAATTTCAAAGTGTATGCTACGTGTAGTTAAGCATATGACATCATGCAATACTTTATAATAGATATGTCTGGCTCAAGAACACATTAGCAAACACGTGTGCATTCCATTGCAGTAGTGGACAGAAACAACTTGAGACATGGCTGCATTCATAATGGATGTACTGTAGTGCTTGGAACTTGTCAGGCAGTTAAGGAGGTTAAACTAACTTGCCAAGATTGAGTGGGTGGCTGTGCACTCTCGCCTTTGGTGAGGGAAGGTGAAGGGCATTGATAGGACCATTGGCTGGTCATTTTTCTCCCCACATCCTGCAGTGGCAGCAGTCATTAAATGACTGGATGTGGTGATTATGCTTAAGGAAATCAATGCTTCATTGTTTTCAGCTTAGCCCAATGGCCGATTACCAGGCAGTAATGAGGGGGGTTGTAAAATGTAGAGATGAATAGGATCTATTGATGTGAGTTTGAGAAAATACGT